AATTAAAATAAGAATAATAGATATGTTTAAAAATGACATTGCAACGGACATATACTGATTTCAGTGCTATAGTCTATAGCAGTGATTGTCAACCTTTTTGTAACCAGTGCTCAAATTTGCCCCCAGGCTAACATTTTCGTACTGCCCACCGACATGTATTTCCGAGCGAGGCGTTAAATGATACCTGAAATTATACCCTAGTAATCCCCACCGCCCACCAAAATAACCAAATCGCCTTCCAGTGGACGATATTGCCCAGGTTGGCAAGCACTGGTCTACAGCTTATGTGAGTGGTTAGCGGGTGCCCGGGTGTAGTTTGCTCCTTTCCTTTATCAAGCATCTATCGTTGTTATCTCGCCTCCTTTTTTGTTATCTTGCCTCCTTTTTTTGTGTATGTCACTCTCTTGCCAACCTGTAATCTTCGGCACATATGACCTGTGTTTCAAATGCCGTAAAACTCTGTGGGTGGTTGGCGGGTGCTATGGCGTGGTTTGCTTCTTCTTTCCTATCAAACATCTATCGTCCTTATCTCCCCTTCTTCTTTTTTATGTTTGTTACTCTCTTGTAACACCTGTAATCTTCTGGCGCTCATATGACCGTAGTATGCAGTTGCGAGCGCCGTAAAACCACTTCTAAAACAAAAAAACCCCCGTAAAACTCTTACTAAAACTGGTCTACATTTTTAAGTTCTCTGGAGCAGTTTTAGCAGACGAAGGCCCAAAGATTGAAATTCTTTCCAGGAGTGCATAATCTGTTTGTTTGTTTAAGTAAAGAGAAGCACATCGACACAGAAAATGGTCATTTACTGCTGGGGGAAAAGTAAGACAAACAGACTGAAACAACAGGGGAAAAGTAAAGAAGTGGGATCTACCAATGGCGCCCTCCAACCACCCGGCACAGACCGTGGCAGCTCTGACGTTACTGAAGACCAGTGTGGGGTCGGAAGCTAAAAATCTAAATTTTGTGACGATGGGGGCGTGAAAACACCCACATTAGAAATAAACAAAACAACTGAACAAACAAAACGGCAGGCAAGACAATAGGCCACCTAAAGACCAGTCCTGGCCTCGCGGTTGTATCCTTCTCAGCGTGGGTTGCCTATGACAGCCCTGACATTAGGGTCGGAAATCCGCCTCTTAGTCTTAATGATCTTAATTGTGTCGATAGGGGCGAAAAAACATTTAATTAAATTTTCTTTTTAAATGTGCGTGTGTAATAATAATAATAATAAAACTAATAATAATAAATAGCATTTGTATAGCGCATAACCCCGTTCGACCGCAAGCTTTATGCGCTTTACTCTACATAATTACCCCAGTAGACCACAGAACACTCAGAAACATTCTCAGCTTCCCGGGAAGCATACGGTGCAAGCAGCTGAACAAGCGTTCAAAGGTTGTACGTGTGTATGTATGTGTGTGTTGACACGCTGTGAACTACATACAACTCGACATAACTCAACGTCTTGTCTCTGTTGGCTCCTCTCTCGACCGCTCGCCGCACGCGTCTGGTGGTATGTGGTGCTGGCCTGTCCTCTTTCGCACCTTTGTTTCTCTCGCCGCTGTTTTTTTTTTCTTCCCAAAGCAGGTGCACACTCGCACATAAGCTTGTACTCCCCCCTCCCGCCCCCCCCTCT